ATTAAATATATACTAATATTGAAGAGCTAATTGCTGATTGCCAAACAAGGACATTGCGGGATAGTTTCTTACTTTATTTTGTTGTGTGATTTGAATACTCTTTTTGTCAATAAATCCCCAAGTAGTTAATATGATTGACTTAATTATATTTTTTATTTTTTTAAACAATTATTATTATTATTATTATTATTATTATTATTATTATTATTATTATTATTATTATTAGTATACCCTTAGGTCATTTTATATTTTAATCTAAACATCTAATATTTTCAAATATCTTTTTACCACTAAACCATTGAGCTAAGCCCGTGCGGGTTAAATATGTAATTCTAAGTTTACAAATGCAAGATAATATAGTCAATATTGATTATAATTGTCAATAAAATAATTGTATAGGTATGAATTATGATTGAAACCAAATACGGGACATAAGAGAGAACAAATAAAAATTAGGGCATAAAATATTAAATATATACTAATATTGTTTGAGGAGATTCCGACATTAGGATTTGTGGTTAAGTTCTATTAAAACTTTAATATTAGAATTAGATTAATGGTGTAGTTATAATTCTATATTAGACTTTAATATTAGAATTAGACTAACGGTGAATTAACGGAAAAGTTAAATGGATAATCATATAATTAAGAATAAATTAGAAAATCTTAAAAGAACAAAATTAAAACCTGAACAATATGAACCATTCATTTGATTTAATAATTTGGCAGTTATTTTTTCTACCCAATGTTAATAATTAAATAAATTCGCTGGTCAAATCCGCTAACGGCTAATTGTCAAACAAGGACATTGCGAGGTAGTTCTCACTTCAATTTGTTGTGTGATTTGAATATAATCAATTAATAAATTTGAATATAAAGAATTTTTATATTGAAGAAAAATAAAGACAATATAACTAATAAAATTATTTATCTTATTTAATTTATTGATAATGAATAATTTTTTTTTTGAATAAAGATATTGTGGACACATAATTCTAAATTAAAAAAATGCATATGTATTATTGTTTGTTGTAACTACTAAATTATTATTTATATAATTTAACTAGTTTTTTACGCGCATTGCGCGATTGGGATAATGCCCAATGTTTTTTTTTTTAAATAAGTACTTTAAAGTATATTAAGACAGGATTATATTGAAATTGTTCATGCATAGATAATTGAAGGTTGAATTTGCGTATTTAAATAGGTAATTCTTCTCCTAAAGGTTGAGTCCCCAACCCCAAGGGCCCCCACACTCCGACCCGACAGAGCATTGTGGGAAGTTGTAAATCACGGTGACTCAATGGTTCAGCAGACAGGGCCAAATGCTGATACGCACAAGGAATCTGCCCACTTTGGACATAATTTCCGCACTGCCGCCGCCGAGGTTCAAACCTTCGTCTCTTCTCCCAAATACTACCCACTAAACCATTGAGCTAAGCCCGTGCGGGTTAAATAGGTAATTCTAAGTTTACAAATGCAAGATAATATAGTCAAGATTGATCATAATTGTCAATAAAATAATTGTATAGGTATCGTTGAAACCAAATACGGGACATAAGGGAGAATAAATAAAAATTAGGACATAAAATATTAAATATATACTAATATTGTTTGAGGAGATTCCGACATTAGGATTTGTGGTTAAGTTCTATTAAGACTTTAATATTAGAATTAGATTAATGGTGTAGTTATAATTCTATATTAGACTTTAATATTAAAATTAGACTAACGGTGAATTAACGGAAAAGTTAAATGGATAATCATATAATTAAGGATAAATTAGAAAATCTTAAAAGAAAAAATTAAAACCTGAACAATATGAGTCATTCATTTGATTTAATAATTTGGCGGTCATTTTTTCTACCCAATGTTAATAATTAAATAAATTCGCTGGTCAAATCCGCTAACGTTAACCGCTAACTGCTGATTGTCAAACAAGGACATTGCGAGGTAGTTCTCACTTCAATTTGTTGTGTGATTTGAATACTCTCGTTGTCACAAAATCTCTCAAGTAGTTAATATGGTTGACTTTATTAATTATATTTTTTAAATTTTTTCATGGTATTAATAAAATACTTGGTAAATAAATATATAGCATTATAACTTTGATATTTAATTAGAAAAATAGTGCACAAAAAAGATAATAGATAATGTAGTGAATATAATCAATTGATGAATTTGAATGTAAAAATTTTTACATTTGAGAAAAATAAAGACAATATAACTAATGAAAATATTTCTTTTAATTAATTTATTGATAATTAATAAATTTTTTTTCACTGAATAAAGACATTGTAAGGATAATGTAGCGAATATAATCAATTAATAAATTTGAATATAAAGAATTTTTATATTGAAGAAAAATAAAGACAATATAACTAATAAAATTATTTCTCTTATTTAATTGATTGATAATGAATAATTTTTTTTTAATAAAGGCATTGTGGACACATAATTCTAAATTAAAGAAATGCATATGTATTATTTTTTGTTGTAACTACTAAATTATTATTTATATAATTTAATAAGAGTAAAATAGAGTACTAATTATGCCAACTTTAATTGGGATGAGTTTCGAACCTAAGACCTTTTTTTATTGAAATCAATGAGTAAGTTAACGGTAAACTAACGACAATTCTTAAAATTTTAACGGAATTAGTAACGGTGTGTGGGTATTTTAGAAAATTTTAGTGTAAAATTTAAATCTGATCAATCTTTTAATTAATCTGAGCCATTCATTTGATTAAAATCTGTGATCGCCATTTTTTCTACCCATTATAGCCCTAACTCTCTTGGGCTCTTATTAGTATAGTAGATAGATAAGAGTAAAATAGAGTACTAATTATGCCAACTTTGATTGGGATGAAGTTCAAACCTAAGACCTTTATTTATTTTTTTTTTTTATTGAAATCAATGAGTAAGTTAACGGTGAACTAACGGCAATTCTTAAAATTTTAACGGAATTAGTAACGGTGTGTAGGTATTTTAAGAAATTTTAGTGTAAAATTTAAATCTGATTAATCTTTTAATCAATCTGAGCCATTCATTTGATTAAAATCTGTGACCGCCACTTTTTCTACCCATTATAGGCCTAACTCTCTTGGGCTCTTATTAGTATACTAGTTTTTTACGCGCATTGCGCGATTGGAATAATGCCCAATATTTTTTTAAAATAAGTACTTTAAAGTGTATCAAGGCAATATTAAATTAGAATTTTTCATGCATAAATAAATAAATAATTGAATGTTGAATTTGCATATTTAAATATGTAATTCTAAGTTTACAAATGTAAGATAATATAGTCAAGATTGATTATAATTGTCAATAAAATAATTGTATAGGTATGGTTGAAACCAAATACGGGACATAATGGAGAGCAAATAAAAATTAGGGTATAAAATAATAAATTAAATATATACTAATATCGAACAGTTAAGTGTTGATTACCAAACAAGAACATTGCGAGTTAGTTTCAAACTTCAATTTGTTGTGTGATTTAAATACTCTTTTTGTCAATAAATCCCCCAAGTAGTTAATATGATTGATTTAATTATATTTTTTTATTTTTTAAAACAATTATTATTATTATTATTATTATTATTATTATTATTATTATTATTATTATTATTATTATTATTATTATTAAATATATGTATACCCTTAGGTCATTTTACATGTTAATCTAAACAACTAATTTTTTTAAATAACTTTTTACCAACCGTTAATATAATTCGCTTGTCAAATCCACTAATATAATATGCTAACGCTAACCGCTAACTGCTGATTGTCAAACAAGGACATTGCGAGATAGTTTTCACTTCAATTTGTTGTGTGATTTGAATACTCTCTTTGTCAACAAATCCCTCAAGTAGTCATTATGATTGGCTTTATTAATTATATATATATATTTTTTATTTTTTCATGCTATTAATAAAATACTTGGTAAATAAATATATAACATTATTTTGTATTATAACTTTGATAATTAATTAAAAAAATAGTGCACAAAAAAAATATAATAGATAATGTAGTGAATATAATCAATTGATGAATTTGAATGTAAAGAATTTTTACATTGGAGAAAAATAAAGACAATATAACTAATAAAATTACTTATCTTAATTAATTTATTGATAATGAATAATTTTTTTTTAATAAAGACATTGTAGGGACAATGTAGCGAATATAATAAATTGATGAATTTGAATGTAAAGAATTTTTATATTGGAGAAAAATAAAGACAATATAACTAATGAATTTATTTATGGTTATTTAATTTATTGATAATGCATATTTTTTTATGAATAAAGACATTGTAGACACATAATTATAAATTAAAGAAATGCATATGTATTATTTTTTGTTGTAGCTAATAAATTATTATTTAATTTAATAAGAGGAAAATAGAGTACTAATTATGCCAACTTTGTTTGGGATGAGGTTCGAACCCAAGACCTTTCTTTTTGAAATCAATCAATGAGTAAGTTAAATAGTTAACGGTAAACTAACAGAAATTAACGGAAAAGATAATATTTAACGGAAAAGTTAACGGATAATCATATTCATTAAGGATAAATTAGTAAATCTCAAGAAAAAATTAAAATCTAATCAATCTGAGTCATTCATTTGATTAAAAAATTTGACCGACATTTTTTCTACCCATTATAGGCCTAACTCTCTTGGGCTCTTATTAGTATATATATATATATATAGTAGATATATATATATATATATATATATATATATATATAGTAGATAGATTATCTTGTCAAAAAAAAACTTTTATTATTATTATTATTATTATTATAAAATAAAATAAACAAATTCTCCATTGTATTTGTTAGTTGTCACGTATTGAATGGCATTTTGGTCATACAAAGCATTGTATTTCGAAATTTCTAGAAAATACAAGGGAAGCAATAAAAGATTTCTCTGGTTAAATTATTATGTTAGTCAGTTGTCACATATTCAGTGGCATTTTGGTCAATACACACAAATTCATTCGCCATCTCCGTCCACCAAGTTTTCTAAGCGGGCCACGCCATTGTTCAAGCAACCTATTCCTTCAAAATTGTCTCCTCTTTATTCTTCTCACCAATACGCTCATGAACAATCTGCAAGCTCATCTCACTGCTTATCTCGGGTATGCGGATACACTACGCATTTTAATTTTAATTTTAATTTTTTTTTTTTTTTTTTTTTTGGTTTTGTGTTTTATTCTTTCATTTGTTATGGCCTGTGGAGCAAGTATGATGCTCTTTCGGTTTTGGATTAATATTTTTGAATTTTGTTTTACGAATTAGGTATTAATGCTGCGAAAATTGTTGTAAAGTGAAGTTGTAAGGGGGCTAAGAGTCGGGCTCTTGGTCCCCTGCAAATATGGAGATTTGAGTGAAGTTATTTCGATTCAGAGAAAATGAGTTGTAGACTAGAGAGTTCATTTATTGGCTTCCCACTCAAGCGTGATTTGAATGGGAAGAAAAGGGGGAGTTTTGGCTATAGGAGTGTAGTAAGGATACCGAAAAGGGATACTTACAAATTTAAATGTTCCAAGAAAGATGACTGGATATCTCGGGGGGTCAACTTTACACATTATTTTGGGAGAAACGTTCAGTTGTTATGGAAGAATTTTGCCCTGAGAAGTGGGGGATTGATGTATTCTGTTAAAGAGCCTTTGGTTCTAAGTAAGAGCTTGGTGAAATCTATGGTTCCGATATGGCAAGAGAGATTACTTCTCCTTCGATCTCCTGCCTTTTATTTTGTGGTATCTGGATTTTTTTTATTGTTCTGGTATAGTCTGAGGAAAGCCAAGAGTTATGCTGAAACCAAGCTTTTGCCTTCTGTTTGCGCATCATTGAGTGATTATATTCAGCGTGATATAGACTTGGGTAAGGTGCGGGGAATTTCACCTTTAAGCATTACTCTGGAGTCATGCTCGATTGGGCCTCATAGCGAAGAGTTTTCTTGTGGGGAGGTTCCATCCGTCAAGATACGCATTCTGCCATTTGCTAGTTTGAGGAATAGAAAGATTGTGATTGATGCAGTCTTATCAAATCCAAGTGTTTTGGTAGCACAAAAAAAGGATTTTACTTTCTTGGGGATACCCTTTTCTGAAGGCAGTCTGCAGAGGCATTTGTCTGATGAAGAAGGAATTGACTACCGTACAAAAACTAGGAGGATTGCCAGAGAGGAATCTGCTGCTCGCTGGGCTAGGGAGAGAGACAATGCTGCTAGGGAAGCAGCAGAGGAGGGCTATGTTGTTCGGGAATGGATTTCTTATTTGTTAGAGGGTGACTTCACCAAGGATGGTGTTGATCCTCTGGAAAAATTGGCCACCACAGAGTCATTCTTTTGTATGGATGAGAGACTGCACTGGAGAGCTCGGCATTCTGTGGACACCGGAGGGGAATATGATATGAAACATGCAGATCTAGAGAAAGCATTTGGTGTCAAAATTCCTCCTTCAGGGGCTACATTTTGGTCTAGAATTATACCACCTGCCGTAAAGCATAAGTTCAAGAAGGCCAATGGAAAAGAGTTATCTGCAGCTAGTGTTGCAGCTAAAAGAAGAATTTTAGAGCGTAGTGCATCAGCAGCTCGCATATATTTTCAAGCTCTATCTAATGGGAACTGCGGAAACTGTACTCAATCTTCTGGAATTTTTGAATCAAAAAGTGATGTGAGCTCTCTGGTAAAAGGTGATGGGGGTACAACTGCTGTGTCTGAAGAAGGTGTAACCTCAGCGGATTATGCTGAAGGGATCAAAGCTGCTGATAACACAAAATTTGAATTGTTCATGCATGATTCGATGAGTAAGGAACTCAGGCAAAACTTGAAAAGTGAAGATATCTGTGGGAAAGTTCTTGGTGGTTATCTTTTGCTTGGAGAAAAACTTGACAGTGGTTGCATTGGTAGTATAAGGATCTTGCGTGATCCTTTTCTTTTTACATTGAGTAGACTGTGTAAGACTACAAATCTTAGTGAAAAGTTATCAGTGATGGATGTTACCAAATTGAGAGAGGCAAGCATGCGTGATATAAATTGTGAAGAATTAGGAGTTCATATCATAAATAGAGATTCTAGTGCAGTTTGGGAATCTAACTGGTCTACTGACTTGGTGCAGGAGTCTCATTCTGGACCTTTGGGTAGTCAAGGAGACCAAGAGGTTGGGCTGTTCAGCCTAAAATCAGTACTGAACAACATGAGAGAGGCTGTGTGTCTTTTGATTACTAATCCTCTGAATATGCTGAATTTGGAGATGACTCCAAGAATGGAGGATATTTCTGAGCTTGCTGAAGATGTTGAAGAAGATGTGGTAGGCATAGAAAAATCAAATCCTGTAATTCTGGATTCTGTTCATTTCAGGGGCGGTACCCTAATGCTGCTTGCATACGGTGACACAGAGCCCAGGTAATCCTTTCCTGTACACTCCCAATACTCTATACCTTGTTCCTGGTTTTTATTTTTATTTTTATTTTATTTATTTTTTAAGTTTTATTTATGAGGTGTAATTGTGAATTTTTGAAATATTGTTTCTATTGAAAAATAAGGATTTGAATGCCTGGCGGGTGGTGAATAGGCACTGTCTGCCAGAGAGACCAAATCTAATATATGAAAACAAGTGGAGAGAATATAGTAATCTTGTAAATATTATGTTATTGTTAGCATACATAAGAGTGTATGCCTATGTATTTATAGAAGGAGAAAAGACTCCTAAATTGATACAGCCTAGGCTTATTCTCTGGTTAGATGATAATCATCCAACCTTTAAATTCAATGGTGTACCCAGGCACTATATGTATTATAATTTTCTAAGACATAGAAATCACTAGAGTATTTACTATATTCTTGAATCTTGAATACAAATGTACAATTAGGTAGATCTGATATTGATTTTCATTTAAAATATCTTTCCATCAACTAAAAAATAATATAGACATTTTTACTAACCAATAACAACAAAATAAATTATAGAAATTCTCAATTTGAGAGAAATAGCTTGCTTCATAATCGGATTGGATAAAGAGGAAGAGATAAAAAAAGGCAGTGTAATTCATTATCAAACTGGGAAAAAAAGTCAGAAAGAAAAGAAAATAAGAAAGTTCAATATTTCACTCTCACGTATACAGAACCTCTTAAACGTGGCACTATAAAGCAGAAAGAAGATTACAATATTATAAATAGTCAATTTGTTTTAGTTTTTGCTTTTAAAAATTGCATCAAATAGAGGATGAAAGAGAAAGCTCTTTGGAACTAACATAATCTAATGTAGCTAATCTTGAAAGATGACATACAACTGTATAGACCTATAGCAATACTTGATGGAGGGTGGTACTTAGGGGTTGTCATTCAGTTAATTTGGTTAATTTTGAACTGAATTAACTGAAACTGATTAACCAAATTTTCATTTTGGTGAAACCCTTTCATCAAACTGAATTATAATTTACCAAATTAACTGAATCAAATTATATTTCAATTAACCAACAAAACTTTCATTGCATCATTTAGGAGAAAAGAAAACATCATGTTGGAAAAAAGCAACATTGCTTTAGGGAAAAACAACATCGTTTTTTGAAAAACCTGTTATAAAATACAATAAAGTTCAAATGTAAGATGTATGAAATTTTTGTAAACATGTAGTCTCGCATCATTTTGGTGAAAGCCAGCTTAAATACAATAGATTACGAAGTCTAAACAAGCATCGTTTTTGGGATAAATATACATGATTTATTACATGCTTTGCTTTAGATTAGATACGCATGGTAGAAACATGCCTCGTTTCAGTCAAAACCGACATTGTTTTGGCCTAAATACGTATGGTAGATTATGAAGCCTAAACACATCATTTTGGGAGAAATACACATGGTCTTATGCTTATTTACTGAAATGCCACCACCTCTTGATTTTAGACATAGATCTCCATCCTTTTTTTTTTGGGTGGGAGGGGGGGGGGTCAATTGACAACCGAGATTCATTCTTAGTTTTCACAAGAGACACCTTTTTTTTTCTACTTGATCTCTCCCCTCTCTCTCTATATGTATAATTAATTAATTAATTAGGTTAATTCTATTAATTGTTAACCGAAATTATTTGGTTAATTGGAATTTTGGATTTTTTTTTCTATAGAATATATTTAGTAATTTACAGTGTTATAGAAGCTATATAAATATTGGAGAAGCTGCACTTCAAAGGGTGTGGTCACCCAAATGGTTGCTTGCATGTTCCACTTTGAACATGCTCTAGATAGTATGAATTTCATATGCCTATATGTCAACATTGCTATATTGACTCCATGATATGGTTTACAGTTTTACACCATGATGGGCCCTTCTTTTGTGCAATATGATATTATTGTTATTGTTGTTTTGTTATTATTATTGTTGTTATATCGTTGTGCCTTTCATAGAGAGATGGAAAATGCCACTGGGCATGTCAAGTTCCAGAATCACTATGATCGTGTGCATGTACAAGTCGGTGGTGGGTGTAAGATGTGGAGGTCAGAGATGACATCTGAAGATGGTGGCTGGTTGTCATCTGATGTTTATGTTGATATACCTGAGCAGAAATGGCATGCAAATTTGAAACTTGTGAACTTCTTTATTCCGGTAAATTACTTTTTTCATTGTTATTGCCTAATTATGTATAATTAAATTAAAAATCTTAAAGAACTCAAAGAACTATTCTTTTTAAAGAAATGCTGAAGTGATTTTGGAGCATAATACTGAATTCCCATGTGCAGCTTTTTGAGAGAATACTGGAAATTCCAATCACATGGTCCGAGGGAAGAGCCAGCGGTGAGGTGCTTCCCTAACTTTCTAGGCTGTTGAATTTGATGCTACATCAGTGCAATCAAAAGAAGTCTTGCAATCAGCAGTTTGCTTAGTATTGTTTGTTTGACTTGTTTCATTCCGATGCCAAGATGCTGAATTCTCAACTTATAAAGTTGTAAAGCAGATTCAGATCTTGCTGTTTTTGAGCAATGCTCTCATCATAAGGGCTGCATTATTTGATACAGGAGATGACCTGTTTGTGCAAAGAATGACTCTTTAGTTGCTTAGAGGAAGCATTTTTTCATTAATGCAGTTAGGGATTTCTGTTGCTATTATGCTACATTCTTTGATAACATGTTAAGAAATGTTAAGTGGACCATTTTGAAGAGGAAGGTATGTGTATGGTACTGTCTTATCATTTTTTCTTTTTGACAGGTTCACATATGCATGTCAAGAGGAGAGAATTTTCCTAATCTTCATGGGCAGCTTGATGTAACTAAGTTGGCATTTCAGATATATGATTCTCCATCATGGTTTTCGGTGTGTCCTATTTAAGCCCATATCTGCATCAGTGCCACAAATACTTCATGGTTTTTCTTGTTCCTTTTATAATGCTGTTCCCTGTTCCAAAGGAAATTATTGTCAGTTTATTTGTTTTGTTGATGGATTTTATCTTTTAGTTCCTACTCGAAATTGTTGCCTCTAAACTTCTCTCTCTAAGTAATTGATTGACATTGGAAAGTGGAAACACATAACTAGTCTGCCTACATTGTTATTTTATCTCATTCTAGGATGCTATTGAGAGCAATGGATAGTTATATTTGTGAATATTTTGATGCACTGAAATCCTTTCAGGACTTCTTGCTTCTAGCTCTCTTTCTTCTCTCTTTCTCTCTTTCGAACTATGCCTAATAGTTGCTATGCTTATGAGAATAAGCTACCTACTTGGTGGATCAAATATATGTCTACATTTTCTTTTTTCAGGACATGTCTGCAAACTTATGCTTTCGTGCTCAACGTATATTTTTACAAAACACTAGTGGTTGGTTTGGAGATGTTCCTTTAGAAGCTTCTGGAGACTTTGGCATTGACCCAGAGGAAGGAGAGTTCCACCTTATGTGTCGGGTATAGTCTTTGGGCTGTCTTCTGAAAGAAAGATTCTGAACCATATTAACACCATCGTTTGCTGTTAAAAATATAAAAAGCTCTTGGCTAATGCATCTCTTGCAGTATGAACATATAAAAGTCTAAAACATAAGTACTAATTAGTTCTGGAACATTAGTCCTCTCTCTTTATAATTTTTTTTTTTCTGGGCTTTTTCTGTCAGTAGTTTTTCAATACTTCCATTTTCTTTTATTAAAGATGATAGTTATCCAGGTGTTCCCTTCTTTAATTGTACTCATCTGTTTCTGGTTCTTTCTTTCAGGTCCCTTCTGTTGAAGTAAATGCATTGATGAAAACTTTGAAAATGAGGCCTTTATTGTTTCCGGTATATTTTTTTCTTTCTGTGGTTTTTAGCTGCATCTCTCTTCAGACCTAAAGTCAAAATAAAATTGGTCTGACTTTCAACCGAAAAGGACTAGTCACTCTGATATTCTGCTGCATTTATGTTGATGCATAACTGCATATTACTTCCCCTAATAAAATTTGTCAAGTTAATCTCACTCTGGACCATAAAATTTTGTAAAGATAATTTTGGCAGTGCATATTACTTCCTTATAAGGGTGAAAACCAGTGGCTGTTGTAACCAAATTTAGTTGTCAAATAATGGGAGATAATAAAAATAAGCCATACATTCAATTATTAAAGCTGATAGAATAAGCTTCAAAGGAAAACAATCTAAATTACATTTTTAGTCAAATTGCTCAACTTTTGGCTGTGTGGTCATGAGTTCAAGCTCTGGAAACAATTTTAAATACACAGTTATGGTTGCAGAAAACCTTGCACAACCCTGGAACATTTGTACACTGGGTTTCAACTTCTTACATAGTAAAAGTTTCTGTTCCAAAGGTTAGAACTGTGTGCTTGATCTGTGAATTTTCAGTGGATTTAGATGCACACGTATACATCTGTTTTGTTTTATGAAGTTTTAGGTATTTTGAAGCATAAAACAAAATAACAAGAATTGGCTTCAAATGTTGGAAAACATATTCATTTTTTATTTTTATTTTATTATTATTGTTATTATTATATTTTTTTTTGTGTGTGTTTTCCATTTTTCTGTTTTCATTTTCTACAGTTTCCTTAGTTTTCATTTTCCATTAGAAAAAACAAAAAACATGTTCATTAACATTTATTTTCCATATCATTTTCCAAGTTAGAAAATACGAAGTTATTTGAAATCCTATTGTTTTCTTTATATTAACATACAAATGTTAGTGATAAGTGAATAATATCGAGTTGCAGCATGGCGTGCGCATGTATATGGGTTGGGTTAGGCAGGTGATAATATCTGAATTTTATTTTGAATATTCAATGTTTCTACTGATATTTTTAAACATTGATATCTGAATGAATATGCCCAATTTGGGAAAAAATATAAATAATGTCTAATTGTATGTGCAAGTAGGCTATATTGGGATAAGTAGATGAAAATAGAGTAGATAGATAATGGTGGGTAAATTAAGAAAAGATGGTAATAAATGAGATGTAGTGGTAGATAGATACATAGTGACGATAATGTTGGCGATGGGAAGATATGTAAGTAGAGATGGGTGATGGTTGGGTAGATAGATAGGTGGGTTTGGTGGGTAGGTACATAGGTTCTAGGGGTAGATGGATAGGTAAAGTAGAAGTTTGTAAGTAATAATAATGGTAATTATAAATGAAGTTATGTATGTATTTGACTATTTGCATTTGGAAAATAAGAAAAAAGTGTTCTCCAAATTCTTTTCTTAAGTTGGAAAAATGGAAAACAATGTTAAGAAACACATCTTATGTTTTCCATTTTCTGTTTTCCAGTTACTAAATGCACCCTGAATTTGGAATAATTAGGTCAGGAAAATTGGAAAAGCAGGAGCATTTATCAATGCACTTCTCTCATACAGTATTGTTTGACTTAATTTGAGTTTCACTCATTGGAATGCAAATACTGATTTGAAAAGTTGCCTCAAGAGTGATTAATAATTAAGGCAATTACATCCAAGCTTATCAAGGCGTCGCCTAGGCGTCTAGGCGGTAACGACCTCCCGCCTAGTCCCCTCGCCTCGCCTAAAATTGGCGAGGCGAGTTTGGGCGACGCCTAGTCGTCGAGGCGACGCCCTAGGACGCCTATGCCGGTGCAGCATTTGGGGTTGCTTTACTCTCAATTGGCTTGATGCTAACCACTCTTTCCTTCAGATAGCTGGTTCAGTAACAGCCGCATTCAATTGTCAAGGTCCCTTAGACACACCAATTTTTGTGGGGAGCGCAGTTTCTAGAAAAATAGCTCATTTGGCCAATGAACTTCCTGTATCAATTGCATATGAGACAGTGATTAAGAATAAAGAGGCTGGTGCTGTTGCTGCAATGGATTGTGTTCCATTCTCCTACATCTCAGCCAATTTTACTTTTAACACTGACAACTGTGTAAGGGGATCAATAATAACTACAATTTAGTGCTCAGTTTCATTTTTATGCTTTTTTACTTGAGAAATATTAATAATAGGATCAATCCATGTATTTTATAGGTTGCTGACTTGTATGGAATCAGAGCTAGCCTTGTTGATGGGGGTGAAATCTGTGGGGCAGGGAATGCATGGATTTGCCCAGAGGTGATTACACACGCTCACACACACACACACACACACACACAAACATGTATTGGCTTAAAAGCATTGAACAACATTAAATGCAATGATTGTACTGTTATCATTTGATTCATTTCTCATACTTTCTTCTAAGCATCAAATCTAGAGCTCGTAGATTGAATAACTAAAGTTCATTTATCTTGTCCTAAGTTGTTAGACATGCTGAAGATCAGTAATTTTCTCATATAGTGACTCAAGCTTTGAGTTATTATGGTATTGAATCTTGTAGTTGCACTGTCTTTTTCTTTTTGCCTGATGTTTTAGGGAATTTGCAATTGTATAAAAGTGTTTGGGCCATGAATTGAATAATGTTCGCAGTCCTGGCACTGAGAACTCAATCATTGCAAATGCAGGGTGAGATCGATGATACAGCGATGGATTTAAACTTTTCGGGCAGTTTAAGTTTTGATAATATCATGGATCGCTATGTCCCTGATTTCTTTCAAGTGATGCCCCTTCAATTAGGTGTTTTGAATGGGGAAACAAAGCTTTCTGGGTCTTTATTGAAACCGTACGATCTCTTTACATATTTTATGTTTGCTAGATATCTTCTGTTCAAATATCCAGTCAGATTTTGCTAAGATGTAAACTTATAGACCCTCGTGATTGTAGACGGTTTGATATCAAATGGAATGCACCTAAAGCTGAAGGATCACTCACTGATGCTCGTGGAGATATCATACTTACACATGATTACATAACTATCAATTCCTCATCAATAGCTTTTGAATTGTATTCAAAAGTTTTGACATCTTATCCTGACAAATACTGGTTGATTCCCAGAGATTCTTATGAGAAGACTGCCCTGCCTTTTGTTGTTGACGGACTGGAATTAGATTTACGAATGCGCAATTTCGAATTTTTCAGTTCAGTCTCTTCTTATGCTTTTGACTCACCTAGGCCTGTGCATCTGAAAGCAACCGGAAGGATTAAGTTTCGAGGAAAAGTTGTCAACAGGTTGATTGCTACTGATGAGCAAGTCTTGCATTCCGATATGAAGTCAGAATATGCTGTAATTAAGGGTAACAATGGTTCACATATTCTTTCTGGTGATGTTTCAATTTCGGGTCTCAAGCTCAATCAGTTAATGCTGGCACCTCAGTTAGCTGGAGTGTTGAGCATGACACATGAGGGTTTGAAGGTTTGCTCCCATATCTTTTATATTTTATTTCTTAGACATTTTCTTCATTGATTGATGTACACAGTTAGATTACATTTAAAGTTAGTTCATTATTAATCTAGGTGGAATTTCCTGTTTTTCCATGTATAAAATGGTTGCACGAGTATCTTTGTTAAAGCTAGAAAGATTCTGATACTGTAAAGATCTATAGTAGTTTTACCTTCATACAGTGATATAGGTTTCTGGTTTCAAATGACTACTGAACATGTGATAACTCTGAAAGAAAATAAATTCATTTTGTAAAATTGAGGTTTGGGTCCACAGGCTAAATCCCACAGGAGTTCAATTTCTGATGACTGTCTATGCTGCAGTTGGATGCCACAGGTAGGCCAGACGAAAGTCTTGCAGTGGAGATCATAGGGCCTTTTCAGCCACTTTCTGAAGAAAATATTATTGGGAAATTGTTCTCTTTTTCCCTCCAGAAGGGGCACCTGAAAGCTAATGTGTGCTACCAACCACTGCATTCAGCTAATCTGGAGGTACTCTCTATTTTTAAGTATCTAGGACAGTTATTTCGGACACTAAACGAATAATAGACATTTCTGCTCCATTAATGCAACCAGATACGGAATCTGCCTTTGGATGAGCTAGAGCTTGCTTCTTTGAGAGGAACAATTCAAAGGGTAATAGTTATTTACAGTGGAATATCTTATCTTTATATAAGAACAAGAAAATCCTAACTGATTGATTTGAATTCTTGATAAACTGATCTGCGTTATATACTTATTTAGAGATTAGAGATATAGTGATTTCCTAGCCTCCTGGGTGTTGAATGAATTAAATGTAGTCTACAAGCTGACCTCTTTTAGTATGTGGCATGTGGTTTAAAAATGCTTTAAAAAGATTATGTTAAGTTTCATGGCTATAATATTTGATACCAACTCAATGCAGCTGTAGCCAGAGCATGGTTCCTTTTATCAATACAAGCATTTTTCAGGTATTTCTGGGAAGTGCCCACCAAGAAATTGAGAACAAGACTGAGAACTTGATTACAAAACCCTCTATGAATTAATTACAAGTTCCATTGTTAGTTTCAGTCCTGATCTGGGCAAAATGTAGATCATCTTCTGCCTTCTGGTGAATAGCACCTATCCAGCTATTCTTCTACAATATATCTGTCCAAATTAATGGCATTGGGAATTAATTATAGATTCCATTGTTAGTTTCACTCCTTATCTGAGCAAAATATAGATCGTCTTCTAATGAACAGCACCTGTTCAGCTATTCTTCTACAATATCTTTGTCCAAATTAATGGCATTGGCCATGGACAAATATTCTTCTGAAATTTTATCCATCAAAATGGATGGTGTGAGTCATGGACCCCTTATTTGCTTGGAATCCTTGGATATTCATTTTAAGAAAATATATGATGACATTTTCTTGCTAAGTTATGCTGTTTTAACTTCTCTTTTCATGTGGAGAGCTATGAGGATTGCAGTGTACTTTGCTCTTCCTTGTTATCTCCTCTCCAAGCCATATGATAATTGTCAATACATTCAATGCAGTTCCTGATTTATAATGTTCATTTCCTGTATTTTGTCTTAAGAGTTGAACTTTATCCTTCTTTTAGGCAGAAGTTCAACTTAACTTTCAAAAACGAAGAGGTCATGGTTTGCTGTCAGTTCTGCGACCAAAGTTCAGTGGCATGTTGGGTGAAGCTCTTGATGTGGCCGCTAGATGGAGCGGGGATGTAGTAAGTATATGAACAATTCTTCTGAAAACTTCTTTTTTCTTTTTTACTTGAATAAACAAGAATCATAATTTTTCACAAAGTGAGTTCCCAGCAGAACATTCTGTTTTGTTTTTAAGTTAAAAAACTGGAAAAAACATTCTGAAAGAGAATTCAGTTTTTCTTTAATTAACAGAATTCTGAATTTACTTGTGTATACTTTCTCAATTTTTGTTTTCCATAATAAAAAGTATTGGCACTTCATATTGATAAACCTTGACACTTAATTCAAGCTTTTTAATTCAAAAATATTTATGCTTTTTGAATTATATTTCCAGATCTTTGTTTAGTCAAGCTAAGAGGAAAAGAGGAAGGTTTGAATGAGCATTTGCCTGTTTGCAAATAATTTTGTATTGCCTAGCTGTAGTGTCTTTTCTTTCATTTGACATGTTAATAACTTATTAATTTGCCCTAAAAGGAATGATCCAATTATGTATATCAGTAATTTCCTTACAGTTAACCCACTAATAGAATGCTTGCTTAATAGTTAATACTTCTGTTTGAAATCCCAAAACTCAAATGATGTTTACATTTCATTATCCTTCAAAGACTAATCAAAGAAAAAATAGGTGATAAAAATGAACTCTCACAATCATCAAATTTGGTTTTTCATTTATCATTATTGGTAAAGGTTTTATAATGCATTCTTGTTAATATCAACAACTCTCTTAGCTTTCTTTAACATTTAAATGAATTAATGCTTGATATTGATCTGGTTCTTTTTTATTAGTGGAGAGGATTGACAATTTCGCCAACTGCATGAATGGATCACATCTTTGGTATATTGTGTCATGATACCGGGGAATATGGACATTCTTTAAAAAAAAAAAAAATAAATAAATAAATAAATATCATTACGAGTTATATATTCTCTTTTATGAAATCCAATGATATGATTGCCTATTGCCACTTGTGCAGATTACAATTGAGAAAACTATTTTAGAGCAGAGCAACAGCAAATATGAGCTTCAGGGTGAATATGTCTTGCCTGGCTCCCGAGATTGGAACTCATCTGGAAAGGAAGGAGGTAGTTTGTTTCATAGAGCAATGACTGGACATCTGGGCAGTGTGATATCTTCCATGGGTAGATGGAGGATGAGACTTGAGGTTCCAAAAGCAGAGATTGCTGAGATGCTTCCACTTGCACGGCTTCTCTCTCGAAGTCCGGACCCTGCCGTTCAATCTAGATCAAAGGTGATCAGTTTTCTTGTTTGTGCTTGCTCTCAGCTTGTGCCTATATACCCATGGAATCATATTTACCACCATGGTCTAGATGATGTGCTGTAATTGCTAGCACATGCATGCTTGTATGAATGTGCCTCTACCCCCCAAAAGAGGCTTGTGTATTTCTTCCGTTTTAACAATTAAAGTGAAGAAAAAGGGTTGGTTGTGTTGAATTTGGAAGATGGAATGGCCTGGCGGGTGGAGAATAATACCACCCGCCAGTTAGGCGGAAGCAATATAAAGAATCAAGACTAGGAAATGAATATAAAACTGAAATTATATTGGTATATTCTCTCTGTTTCTAATACAGAAACACAGTACATATATATACACAAATACATAACTGTAAGTAACTACCCGTAACTACCCATAACTACCCATAACTGACACTTATTCATAAACAGACACAACCCTATAGATAAACCTAACTCTTTAGTTTTCAACACTCCCCCTCAAACTGGAACATCTAGAAGTTCCAAGCTTGTATTAAAACATACACTCTACATTACAAATGAAGATTAAAAGCAGCTAGAGAATAACAGTGTTAGATGGCTTCGGAGGAACAATGCTATAAACAACCCTTGGGAATGAAGGCACCAGGGCGAAGCTTGTCACAAACAACCTTGGGAATGAAGTCACCAAGGGCGAAGATTAACACGAACACCCTCACAGCAACATAAGCATTCTAGGATTTGCCAATCAACAATCTCCATCAAGAACGGCAGAGCAACCAAATCATGAGCAGCGAAGGGGATGTAGTAGAGCCCATAGATTGTTGTATGAATACCGAGAAAACCACATGATTGTTGTTTATACCTCTTATAGGATAAGTGAATAACAAAAGAAGCTTCCGGAAATAAACAAGGTGCCAAAGATGAAAACCCTAGGGACTAAGTATGGTATACCGAATATAAAGAAACAAATACGGTTATACCAAAAACACCCCGGAAAGAGGTTTGGCAACCAACCCAAAAAGCCTTCAAACTTCACCAAAAGGTCCAAGGGCAAAACAACAATCTGGAATTTTCACCGGAGAATACATCACAAGGAAAAATACAATTTTGATGTTTGAAATACCCTAGGAAAGTAGGCTCTGATACCATGTTGAATTTGGAAGATGGAATGGCCTGGCTGGTGGAGAATAATACCACCCGCCAGTTAGGCGGAAGCAATATAAAGAATCAAGACTAGGAAATGAATATAAAACTGAAATTATATTGGTATATTCTCTCTGTTTCTAATATAGAAGCACAGTACATATATATACACAAATACATAACTATAAGTAACTACTCGTAACTACCCATAACTGACACTTATTCATAAACAGACACAACCCTATAGATAAACCTAACTCTTTAGTTTTCAACAGGTTGGAGCAAGATTTATGGGTGCATAAACCTTTTACCTTTATATATTTATGTTGGGGAGCAATGTATTTACTTTCTGTAGCTAAATCATGCATGCATTTCATTTGTAATTTGCAGGATCTTTTTATCCAAAGTTTGCAATCAATGGGACTATATGCAGAAAGCCTTCAAAAGCTGCTTGAGGTACTTATTAAGTAAAGTCTTCTTTTTCGGTGTACATGATTGTTGTTTATACCTCTTATTAAGTAATCTGTTGAAAAATCTGCAATCTATTTGGTAGTGAAGGAAATGATTTACATTCCTACCTGACATGCTTGATGATTCGCAACTCAGGAAATTCGTGTTCTTTTTACCCCCTTGGATGAAGTTGTCCTTGAGGACTTCAATCTTCCAGGTTTGGCTGAACTTAAGGGTTGTTGGCATGGGTCTTTGGATGCAAGCGGAGGAGGCAATGGAGACACAATGGTACCTTAAATTTGATTACAGAGCAAAGTATCCTTTGTTTTATACCCTTCAATCTATAGGATCAGTTCAAAAGTTCTTGAGAATCCAATGATGGTTTGTTGTTGTAGCCTCATATTAGTAATTGAAAGTTTGCTTGTTGAGCAATCTGGGTGTTTATGTAGTCCAAAATAATTTGCGTTCCTAATGATTATATTGTTTGCTGCTGTTTTATCTTGATATTCACAACATTATTCAATAAATTTCTTCCAGTAATCTTCTGAATGCTTGTTTACTTATTCCCAATAAACTGATTCTGTAATTGCCGAAAAGTTGATTGTGAATGTTCTCCCTGTGTGAGAATTGCATAGAGCATGTTGTTGGTCTTTTGATTCCTTTGGCATCTATCAAAAGTCATGTGCTTTTTACTTCTTAGAAAATGAAATCAGTTTAGTTTCCAATGCAAGCTCAATCCATCAAATTGATTTATGCTAAATTGGTGTTAGGTTCCAAATTCAGTATTTTTCACTTGAATCTCAGTACTGAAATTTTTTAATGACTCTTTTTTAGGCTTTTCTTGGCAAATTAAAGAATCCATACGATTAAGTAAAATATCACCAATAACTAAACTTTTTAATAGCTAATGTTCAAGCAATATAAATTCTTAGCATATCCTTTAATTGTTTGGTGACATTACAGGCAGATTTTGACTTTCATGGCGAAGAATGGGAGTGGGGGACCTATAAGACCCAGCGAGTTCTAGCAGCTGGTGCATACAGCAATGATGATGGTTTGCGGCTAGAGAGAATCCTTATACAGAGGGATAATGCCACAATACATGCAGATGGGACTTTGCTGGGGCCAAAGACCAATTTGCATTTTGCTGTTCTGAACTTTCCTGTTAGTTTGGTTCCTACATTGGTTCAGGTCATTGAAACTACAGCCACTGAAGCTGTTCATTCTCTGCGACAGTTTTTAGCACCAATAAAGGGCATATTGCATATGGAAGGGGATCTTAGGGGCAGTCTTGCTAAACCAGAATGTGATGTGCAAGTAAGGCTTCTTGATGGCACCATTGGTGGAATTGATCTTGGGCGAGCTGAAATTGTTGCTTCCTTAACTCCTACATGTCGTTTCCTGTTCAATGCTAATTTTGAACCAACCATTCAAAATGGTCATGTCCACATTCAAGGAAGTATTCCTGTAACCTTTGTCCAGAATAATGTTTTGGAAGAAGATAATACAGAATCAGATAAAAATGAAGTGGTGTGGAAGCGTAGTTGGGGCACAGGTAGGAGTAAAGGGCCTACAGATGAAGGTAGTGATAGAAGAGGGCCTAGAGAGAGAAATGAAGAAGGTTGGGATATTCAGATGACAGAGAACCTCAAAGATTTGAACTGGAATGTACTGGATACAGGAGAAGTAAGGATAGATGCTGATATCAAAGATGCTGGCATGATGTTGTTGACTGCATTATCTCCTTATGCCAACTGGTTACAAGGCAGTGCTGAAGTTATGCTTCAGGTAATTCAAAATTATTATATCTTAAAGTCTTAGATTATGCACAGATGTTGAATCACAGTTGATAATAAAGGTCATGCATGGCTTGATTTGAATTCACAAAGAATTGTTCCCAATTCATGAGATTGCTTTTTCTAAGCCATGCATCATTTTTTCCCCCCCTTATTTTGGTATCTATATACGTGCCGTCTGTAAATTTTATAGGTACGTGGAACAGTTGAACAACCAGTACTCGATGGATCTGCATCTTTTCACAGGGCAACTATATCTTCACCTGTACTTCGAAAACCTCTTACCAACTTTGGTGGTTCTGTTCTCGTGAACTCAAATAGACTGCGCATCAGTTCAATGGAGGGCAGGGTAAACAGAAAAGGGAAACTGTCTGTGAAGGGTAATTTGCCGCTCAGAACAGGTGAAGCATCTTCTGGCGATAAAATTGACCTAAAATGTGAAGTCTTGGAAGTACGGGCAAAGAATATCTTTAGGTATTTTACTTAGCCTTTATCATGTAATCTCATTTTGTGCTTGTGGAAATTCTGTGTCAGTTCTGATCTTTGGCAGGTATCCGCCCTTCCAACCCAGTTTTCTGGTCTCAATGGCAGTGATTGATATGAAGCATGTATATGGACATTTCTTGAGATCATTCTTACCTTTTTCCAGTTCATCTTGTATTCATAAACATACATGTCTTTTCATACTCCTTTTCACTTTACTTTTTATTCTAGGGAAAAATGCAATTTTAGTCCCTTAATTGTTCCTTGCTAGTTGTTTTAGTCCCTAACTTTTTACTGTTGCAATATACACCCCTAACTTTTCAAAAAAGTTGCATTTTTAACCCCTGGAGCAGCAAAACTATTAAACTCTACTAAAATTTTACTTAGTACATGTGTATTTGAGTACTTTTTAATATTTCTTCTTTAATTATAATCTTGTTTAGTCTCGATATTTCATTTGTAAAATAAATAACATGACTTTAACTGGGCTGTGTAGGGAAATAGGGAAGATGTGCCACAAATGAAAAGGAAAAATTTAGGAAAGAAGGTTGTTAATTTTCTATTTTACAGATTAAATATGAAAACTGACAATGTTATAAAGAACAAAGATAATAAAATTTTAAAATAACCAATGTATTAAGTAAAATTTTAATAGAATTTAATAGTTTTGTTGCTTCAGGGGTTAGAAATGCAACTTTTTTGAAGAGTTAGGGGTGTATATTGCAACGGTAAAAAGTTAAGGACTAAACCCACTAGCAAGGAGCAATTGAGGGACTAAAATTGCATTTTCCCCTTTATTCTATTTGTCTCTTATTTATTATCCATAAACATACATGTATTTGTGTACTCCTTTTTACTTTACTTTTTATTATATTGGGTCTCTTATTTATTACCTTTTGAAATGATTTGTCTGCCATTCATAGTTTTCTTTTCTTGAAAATGTTTCCATTGTTATAGTGGCCAGGTTGATACTCAAATGCAAATAAGGGGGTCTGTATTGCAACCAAACATTTCTGGAAAGATTAAATTGAGTCATGGTGAAGCATACCTACCCCATGACAAGGGCAGTGGAACTACTCCTTTTAATAGAGGCACATCAGATCACAGGACACCTCCTACTGATGGTTTCGATCATTTGGTTGTCTCAAAGTATGTTTCACACTTTCTCAATCTAAAGCCTGCTGCCTCCAACATTCAGTTTCATCAATCTTCAGGTAATCAAGCATCTGACCCTTATTTTTACACATTTATAATAAATGCTTGAATTGAGAATGCCTGGGGATGGGTGATGAGGGTTGTGGAAGCATTTCACCCTCTGCTTGGTGATTAGAACTTAGAAGTTGATTTTCGTTTGCAAGAAGGTCAGTGCTAATATTACCACACTTATGATAACCAAGAGTATTGTAACTTGCACCAATTTGGGCATGACCTTATTTGATCCAGATACAAGTTTTCCAGTTTATTTCATGTACTTTCGCAAATATTGCTCATTTTCTGTATTTGTTTTCTTGGTAAATCTTTTCTTAATCTGTGAAATTTTACGAATCAAAGGGATGCTTGCTATATATAAGGGATATCACATGTATTGTGTTTCAAACTCTTTACCAAATGTTCTTTTGGCTGCTTTAGGGAGACATTCTCATGTTCTTGATTGTTGTTACTTGTGTTCAATGATTAAAACTGTGTTTTATATTTACTATTTTACTTACAGGTAAACATGCTGAAGCTGATAAGGAAATGGTGCAAATAGACAGCAATCCTAAATTTGATATCCGCCTCTCTGAGTTGAAGCTTGTTCTTGGACCAGAGCTGAGGATAGTTTATCCTTTAATCCTCAATTTTGCTGTCAGTGGAGAGCTCGAGTTAAATGGCATTGCTCATCCAAAATGGATAAAACCTAGAGGCATTCTGACCTTTGAAAATGGCAACGTGAACCTTGTTGCCACTCAGGTTAATCTTTTTTAAGTGTTATTATTGGTGATGTTGCTTTCCATAACAATAAAATGAAAAGTAGTTTCTTTCCATGACTTGAGAGTAACCACAACAGAGTTTTTGGGGTGGGTTTTCTCCTTTGGTGGAGGGGAGAGAGTATGAGGTGGAGGGTAGAGAAGGGAAGACAAAAAAAAAAAAAAGAATTTGCAGGAATTGGGTTTTATGTGGGGCCTGCAGAGAGGAAAAAAAAAAACAAGAAAAAAACCTGGCTGGTGCGAGTTGGGCGAACCAGTAGCGCCCAGTGGGTGTGTTTCAGGCCTTTTGTTTTGTTTTGTTCTCTCTCTCTCTCTCTCTCTCTCTTTCTCTCTCTCTCTCTTTCATTTTTTAACCCTTTTCCTCTTTCCCATTTGGCAAGAAAACCTAACAAAATTTCTACACTATTGAGGATGCTCTAATTCAGAGTCTGCAAGCTTTTCCTTCTTTTTGAGTGTTCATTTTTATGATCCATTTTTATAGATGTACTCCACTTTGTTTTCACTTCTTTCCCATACACTTGGGTTTTAAATTTTAGAGAAAATATGTGATGAACTGTCTTGGACAAACTACTGTTGTTTCTCTTGTAATTAGCACTAATGAATGAATTGAAATAGATTTAACAGAATAATACGGAAAATAGGACTTATAACTGGAATTAGTGCATAATGTTCTTGGCAATTTCAATATCTTAACTAATTTTAACCCCTGTTATATGCTTTAATTCTGATTGTTCTGCACTTGTTATCTCAAGTAGCTCCTTTTGTCTCAAGTAAAGGGAAAAGACGGAAAGCAAATGGTAAATCCGATTTGGTACTATTTGAGGCTGAAAGGAAATTTAAGTGAGGATTAATTGGAGGGAATTATAATTAGTAATCAAATGACTACATTTCGGTTTTGGGGATTTTTGAAACCAAGACTATATTTAATAGTGTAACCAATGGCATTATTTTTGTCATTTTGATCCAAATGGGCTGCAGGCGTACAAAAGAAAAGAAAAATAAATATTGAGTGTAGAAACCATTGCTGTTTAACTTCAAGCTTTTGTATAAACTATAAAATGCATGATACTGAGTATGACATTTGATCTCTGTTTATTCATTTTTCTTAATTTAGGCAAGGCTTAAGCGTGATCATCTAAACATAGCGAAATTTGAGCCTGAGAATGGACTGGATCCAATGATGGACTTAGCCCTGGTTGGTTCAGAGTGGCAATTCAGGATTCAAAGTAGAGCCAGCAAATGGCAGGACAAAATAGTTGTGACATCAACACGCTCTGTGGAGCAAGATGTCCTGTCACCCTACGAGGTATTTTTTTAAGATGCTTTTGCTTGTTCTTTTTCTTTTAAGTCTTCCACGAAGGTGGTCCCAACTTAGAACTTGCTATTTGATTAGCTTCAACAACTGAAGAAAATTACACACAAAATTATAAGCTGGTTTTTAACTGCTGTTGACTGTTGCAAAAGGGGCCGGGAGAAAGTCCCAAGATCATGGTTCCCTAGTGGACGGGAAGAAGGATTCTCATGGCTTTCTCATAATGCACACAAAAGGATTTGTCATGTTATCAAAATAGTCATGGCATATTTTCTGCAAGATAACATGAAATTTCTCTCTTGTATGTGGCAAAGTTTTTTGCTTGTGCTCCTTACTTTTGTGAAGTTCAACCCATCAAAGTATGGAATAGTATTCCTTAATAGCCTTCTGTAAATTATGCACTATTGATTAATCTCACATTCAATCGCATATTTTTTGTCTCAACAGTTCAAATTTATATCAATATAGAAACTAGGTTAAAAGAAGTAATTATGCATGGTTGAACAGGCTGCAAGAGTTTTCGAGAGTGAGTTAGCTGAATCCATCTTAGAAGGTGATGGGCAGCTAGCTTTTAAGAAGCTTGCAACTGCAACACTGGAGACACTGATGCCTAGAATTGAAGGGAAGGGTGAATTTGGACATGCTAGATGGAGGCTTGTTTATGCACCTCAGATTCCAAGCTTGCTGTCCGTTGATCCCACTGTTGATCCCCTTAAATCTCTAGCCAGCAATATTTCATTCGGCACTGAAGTCGAAGTACAACTGGGGAAGCGCCTTCAGGTTCATGATTTTCTTAATCTTTCCACTTCAAATATTTCGTTTTTCTTCAAGTATGTATACCAGAGAATATTCCTACAACGCCCATATATACCCTCTTCATGCCCACAAGTATCAAAATCCTTGTAGACAGAAGATATATAAACCGTACAGAAAAAGAAAATAGATTTCCCATAGTGAAACCTAGCTTATGTACAAAATTAAATTGACCCACTCACTCGTTATACATTTTTGTTGGGTACAATAATTTCAGAGTAGATCATGCCGAATGCCATTTAAAGTGGATTCTATGATCAACTAAAACATTTCACGTTCTTTTTTCATTTATAGTTATGAATGATTTAGTTTGGTGATCCTTTAATTTAACGAATTGAAAACCTTGCAGGCATCGGTGGTTAGACAGATGAAGGATTCGGAAATGGCAATGCAGTGGACTTTGATCTACCAACTCACAAGCCGTCTGCGCCTACTGCTACAATCTGCTCCCTACAAGCGTCTGCTTTTCGAGTATTCAACTACATCACAAGACTAGCCTAGCCAGCTAGAGTTTTGCAACGTGGTCGTCACAATTACGTTTTAGGAGGGTAAGTTGTTCTGTAGAAAGTTAAACTGTAAAGAAAGAGAGAATAGATGAAATTGTTAATTCTCTTTTCATTCATTTCAAGATTAAATGAAATGGGCAGTCATAGACAGTGTAGATGATGTAAAACAAGTGTAAATAGCTAGCTAGCATCATTTTTTTTGCTCCTTAAAATGAATGAGCAGAGCATGTTTATAATTCTCCCTTAAAACTGTCTGTGTGTGTGTGTCTATATTCCTGACCCATGAATGTAATCTGGGTGTTTTTTACTGAAATGGTCAAGTTTCCAAAAATAGTGAGAAATAATAATAAGAAGCTTTTAAAACTTGTACAGAATTAGGAAAAACTCATTTAGAACTTGAGTTTCTTGTTAGACACGCAAGTCCTAAACGAGTTTCTTAAAATTTATGAAAATATTATTTTTAGATGGTCAATGTGAAATGCAAGTGCCACTTGTGTTTCTCGTAGTATATGAGAGATGCAAGTGTTACTTGTCAAAACTTGCGTCTTTCATCCGTAGAAATACAAACCAGACATGCAAGTGGCACTTGCTTTTCTTGTATATTATGAGAAACACAAGTGCCACTTGCAAATTCACTTTCGTCAACTCCAATCAAAATTCACTTTTGTCAACTCCAATCAGGAGAGACAAATGGCACTTGCATCTCTCATTATGTTAAGGAGAGACACAAGTCCCGTTTGCATGCGTCTCTCCTTACTATTATAAACTTTTTTACAGGTTAGAGACTCACTTTTTCATATTTGAAAAAGTCACTCAGTCATCTAATTTTGTAGAACTCTAATTGGATAGACATTCATATATCTTTGTTAATATATTTGAAGCCATCGGATTGTGAGAAGCAAAATAAGAATTCTTCCAAGAAGCAGTTGATGTGCTTAATAAATGCGGAGTAAGTTGTTAAAATTGATGCTCTTTTCATAATGAATAATGGCACAGTTTGATAGAATTTTCAAAACTTGTTTTAATAATTTTTCTTGTTATGTCAAATATTATATAATTATATTAGTGTTATTGAAAAAAAAAAAAATCAACTATTAATTTAACCGCGAAAATGAGTTCATGTAAGAAGAGCATACAATATTTTCAATCCAATTTGATCGATTTAAAAAGTTTAGAACTATGTATGATAAATTTTTACGACTTACAAAATGAATGTTTAATTGAAGAATACATAGATAGGGAAAAGATAAAGCAGCAACTTGCAAACTACCATGTTGGTGTTCGTAGTGATGATGCTCCTGTATTCATCAAAACCTCAAACTACCCTTACTCTATTCAATTTAAATATCTGAGCCAGATAGACGAAAAAAAATACCTCCCCGAATGGTCTTCACATCCAAGATGTTCCACCATTGCAAGAGTTGCTGCTTTCGTTCTGGTGCATCACTCGGATATACAATAGCAGGAGCCAAGGAAAAAGGAATATATCATAAATCGCATGATCGACCCAAAGTTACATTATATTTGGCAAGTGTAGTTTCCTTTGCTGGCTCCATCTCCGCCATCAACATTTAATTTTGTTCCAAGCAACACTGAGAGAGATCATCTCTTCTTCACCAAAATCTCCAAGGATCCTTGTATGGAGGAACATAGTTTTCTGTAGGAGGGAGAAGCCGGAAAGAAGCCACGCTCTTTTCTAAGAACGGTCCCATCTGCAGCAAACGGTCATGTCAAATTTGGGCAGGATGGCAAACAAATCTTTCCATTTTCTATTTCCCCAGTTTATAGAATGATAGCTCTTGCAATATTTTTAATAGCCATGAGGAACAAGTACTAATAGTCATGAATATCTTAGTACTCGAGTCTCTTGCATAATGCAAGTTTTAGGGAAAGGAGATATCCACAACCCTAAATGATGTATTTGAAACTTTATAAATTTAGGATGCCAAAGTCCAGTGTAGAAATTTGACTATCGAGTTCCTACTAGTTTTTTTTTGTTTTTGTTTTGTTAGAGCACGAGGTGTCCTGAGGAGGCCCTAACTGTAGGAGGCACTTTTAAGCCCGTACCATACTCAAACTAATCCTTGATCGCACTAAGCCAGCCCAATTAAGGGGCAAAGTGCTGGCCATATTGATTTTTCCGTACGAGAGAGGGTTTGAACTCCCGACCTCTTTTTTAAGAAATGAGAGCGCATGGCCACTCACGCCAACCAAGCTGGTTAATCTAGTTCCTATTAATTGTTAATATACAGAGAATGCGCATTTACTTGAGAATGGATTTGTAATCTGAATTCAAGATATAAAAACAAGAAAAGGAAGTTTCATTGGGAAGTTGAGGTTATTAAGCTACTTGACTTGGAGAACACAAAGTACTTACTTGGTCCCATTGCTTGCCAAGTGCTGATGCACTAAGAGTATACAAGTAACCTGAAATGCATCATAAAAAGCATATCCTCAACTGTTATTTAAATACTATACCAATAAGAGAACAAGTACGCTTGACTAAATCAAGACATCCAGATTGAAGCGAAATGATGCTATGGAAAAATGTATCAACTATGGCCTTACCATCTCGTTCAGCTGTTGAAGCAACGTAGTGGCGGAAAAGATTCGACTCTAGAGCCTGGAATCATTCAATATTAAGTACACCAATAATTCGATATTACTCATCATTTTGTCTCATCTTGTTTTAAATCAAGGAAACTCACCGTTTTGGTTGGTGATTTGCGAACAAGGTACTCAAAATACCAATATGCATCACCATCAATCTGGTAGAAGACGGATCCCATAAGCAGATATCAATTAAAATATTAAGCTAAACTCCTAAAGTAGCAATTTGATGCACATTTCCAAGAACAGGAAAAAAAAACAAAAAAAAAAGAACTCACTTTGGAAGAATGTGCATCAAGAAGTGAACTTTCAGCCAACCGTTGAGTTGAGGTTACCCGCTGCAGAAGGTTACATAAAATATTATTTCAAAATATAGTCAGAGAGATCGACCAAACTCTGAAAAGTAAATTCTTTACAGGGAAAGACAAAATTATGCAATAAACATAAACAAAAATTTATGGACAAACCAAGTGTCTATCGGTGTATACAATTAAAATACAAAAATACAAAATAGTGTGCATAACTAACTCACAAACTTACATGGCTATGGTGTATTAAAAAATTCAATATATATATATATATATATATATATATATATATATATATATATATATATATATATATATGCCACTGTTCAAGTTTGTCCACCCCTTCCCATGAGTCCGTGTGGTAAAATTATGTCCATTGATCTTTGCATTATGAATGACTTAGATCTTCACTCTCTTTTTTTTTTTTTTTTTTTTTTTGTTTAGTGAAGTGCACAGTTGCACAGTTGTTGTTAATTGAATTTTGTAGACCATTGATCTCTAGCTTTTTAATGGACCAGATCTGTCTACACAGGCTCATGGGGAAGGATCAAGGATGGACTCATTTGATCATAGTCTATATATATATATATGAAGCATCCACATTACTTGAAGAGAAAAGATAGTTCTCAAGACTCCCTCATTGTAATAGAACGGTTAGCACTTGATTTATTCAGTTTTAGCAATATAAAGAAGTTGTTATGACACTTGAATTTATGCAATCTAGCTTTAAGCCAAAATACATGGAAATATAACATAGGAAATTGCTGGATCTTCAGGAGATAAATATGCGCATGATGCGCACCACATAGCATAAATTTTTTGGCCAGAAAAGTGGCCATGAATCTATGTAGAGAGTAGAGACAAAGGTTCAAATTACCAAAGCAGATTTATCAGCTAAAACAGAGTCAGCGACATCCTTAGCACTCCAGCTACTTTTCTCTGACTTTAGGAATTGTGAATTGAGTGGACCTATCTGAACCAGATAATAATATTCAGTTTAAGTTTCTAAAAAAATTAAAACATGATCAAAAAGATACTCTTCGACTTTGAATTACCGTAACAGAAATAATAAGATTATCAATGATGTCAACTCTTTCAGACACAATGCGGAGGCGTGCATCAGCTGCATGATATACCAACTAATATAAGAAAGTATTACTAGAAGACTAGCTCATATTAAATTCACCCAGAGTTACAATGTCGAAATTCTCGATCAAGAGAAAATGAAGGATATGGGGGAACTTACGTGACAGTGGTGCAGCCGATGAATAACGCTCTGGTTTTCTGGATTCAACCCTTCAAAGAGAAGAAACAAGTGAGGTTCCTAAAACTTAAGGATCCAGGATACAAGAAACGAGACCCTTTGCATCACACAACAAGATAATAAAACAAAATAGTATTTGCATCAAAGTAAGTGAAATGAAAAGAATGAGTATAATAATACCAATGGTTAAATCACATATGAAATTATGCAAATAGGAAAGTTGCTTTAATGAAAATTCCTTCGACTTAATGAAGGTTGTTTCGACTTTTAGGATGACAGAAAGTAATATTCATATAGGTAATAGGTTAGCTGACAAGATGACAAGAATCAGAATTGTAAAAAAGCTGAACTTTCTTTAGCTTAAACCAGTTTGGTTGGCATGAGTGGCCGTGCACTCTTGTCCCTTAAGAGAGGTCGGGAGTTCGAACCCCCTCTCGTATGGAAAAAACCAATCTGGCCAGCACTTTGCCCCTTAATTGGGCCGGCCCGGTGCGAATGGGGACTAGTCTGAGTATGGTAAGGGCTTAAAGGTGCCTCCTACAGTTAGGGCCTGTGGTCTGACCAAAAAAAAATATTATATCAGCTTAATTCAATAGTGCTTACCATTTGAAGACAAATCCTTTGGAAGGAAGCTCTGTGGGGTATATATAGGAATAAGAATTAGTATTATCAACAAATGAGGCCATTTTCACATCTTCTTCAGCACTTGAGCCTGCAAGTATTTAGAGCATTGTCTCTAAGAAAAACTAACAATATCTAATTCAAGATGATCTCTCTGAATATGGTGTTCTAGTTCAATATTATATTCATGATAATATCCTACACTTATGACTTACCTATGTGCAATACGAATATAGCACTGTAATGCATTCTGAAGATGATGATAAAAAAGAAAACAGACCTATCATGCTAATCAATAGTTGAATTTTGGAATTTGGAGAATCCCTGTTCAATTGTATACGCTTTCATGTATTTTATGTTAAACACCATTCAGAAAACTACACGTCACTTCTATAGCTAAAGAAGCTCAGAAGAAAAGCGCCTAATTATACTAGTGTAAACTTCCCACAATTCATTGAAAGAATGGAACTTTTCTATTCAATGATTCATTTTGACTTGTTCACGTGCGTTTAGCTAGAGTTGCTAAACTTGGGGAAAGAAAGGAGATATAACAGTGTAGTAAAACCTATGAAATCCAACTCCAAAGTGAGGAAAGAAAAAGGAAACATAACCCAGACCATTAGGCAAACTCTCTAAGGATTTTGCAGCCAAATTTAGCCTTGAAAAGCACTATTATGTCTTGTACGGGAAAAAAGGGAATAATCAAAAGGTGTGTTTGGTTCATGAGGTCAGACACAAGGAATGGGAACAAAAGGCATACACATTGTTTGTTAGATAACTTTTTAAAACATAAATATAGGATTTGATTACCCCTATAATTACAAAACCCGTTACCTAATTTAGATCAAGTATCATTCCATTAATTCAACCTTATCCCTCCTCATTTCATTGCCTCCTCATTTCGTTGCCTCCTCACTCATGACTCATCTCTCCTCACTTAATCGACTTCCTCACTGCATTGCCTACTCACTCCATCGCCACTCTTAAAATCAATTGTCTTGATTTGTTGTTTTTGTATTTTTAAAACTTTTATTCCGATTATAGGATCATGCATAACCAAACATCAATATTGGTAATCATTCCAATTCCACCCTACTACCAAACAATTCAAAATACTTTCACCAAAACCCATTCCAATTACCAAGTATTTGATTCCCATTCCGATTCCCATGTTCGAACCAAACAAACCCTAACCCTCTTGTATGCTAAACCTCTCATTGTAAATATCATTTTGTCAATTTAGGATCTTTTCTTAGTCTAATCAAAATTCAACTTCTTTGGCCTATCAATTTCAAACTTCAACATCCATTCCTTTCTCACTATTTCTTAAACATTCCTACCTTTCAATCCAGACCTTGTTAACCAATCAGAAAGCACAGAACTGCACTAAAAATGCTTAACATTTTAAAAATTTAAACAAAAAGGAGTCCATTCTTGAACATTGAAAATGCAAAACAGATCAGTGTGTACATACTACTTAAATAAAGGAATAAAATTACGCTCAGCAAAAGCACAGCAGTGAGAAAATGGAAACGATGACAGAAGAATTATTAAATTTGCTGGCTTACTTAAAGATGGGAAAACCAGTGAAAGTGAAGATAAGCCAGTGAACACCAAATCCCTTCTTGAAACCCCATTGTGCTGAGTGGGTTCTCTGCCATTGGTCGAAAACGCCATGATTTTCTCCCATTTTCTTTTCTTTGGCGTGGCCAGTGAGCTCTGGTTTCTGGAAGAAAAACAATAAAACATCAGACTATATGTGTAGAGGAGTGTATATATGCATGTATATATGCGCTCCATAGAGAGAGAGGGAGTACTTTAAGATGGGGAAAGAATGATTGGAAGATGTAGGGAGGGGAGGAGAGGAGAGAAGAAGTATTCTGGCAGCCATGCTTCTTCTTCAGTTCTTCCTTTTTATCTCAAACTTGTCAGTGTCTCAGAGATATAGTCGGGCGGGTTTGGACTTTGGATAGACCCGCCTTCAATTTTATCATCTAAATTCTGACTACTCACACATCTACGTACTATTTATAAAAATAAAACTTTTTTGTTAAATTGTTGATGCAATATATTTTAATTGATTAAAAAAACTAAATCATAGTTTTTTACTTTTTATTTATTTTTATTTTAATAAAATTAGGATATATAGTAGGAATTTTACATTTTTAGAACACCTTTAACATTTTCTAATTCCAAATGTTTTTAATAGGAGTGTTCATTTGATTAATTTGATTAGTCAAAAGTTAAATTAGTCACTTTTGAATTAACCCATTTTAATTTTGGTGAAACCTTAAACCAAATTAAAATATTATTAATCAATTTTATTTTAGTTTATTCAGTTAACCAACCGAATTAACAAAAATTTTATTTTATATAGTTATTTAATGTATGTATGAGAGAGAAAGAGAGATAAGGTGAGAACTATGTCCCAACTCCCAAATGAGAACCTGTGGATAGATTTAAATCATTATATAGTTGATCTAACGATTAAAAATAAATAGAATTTTGTAATATTTATAAACATGACCCCGCTCATAGATTTTGGATTGAAGAACTCACTACAACAATATCAACGTAGAATGGATAAAGTTTTCATAGATTTAAATGAATTTTGCATAGTTTATGTAGATGATATATTGATATTCAGTGATAATTTGGAGCAACATATTAAAAGTTTATATATATTTATAGGAACAGTTAGAAAACATGGTATATTATTATGTGAGAAAAAATCTAAAATATTTAATAAAGAGACTGAGTATTTAGGATATATAATGAATGAACAAGGATTACAATTACAAGAACATATTGTTACTAAGGTAACAAAAAAAAAAAAGTTTTAAAGAAAAACTGACTCTATTACAATGTAGTATTTGTTCATAACTACTTTTTCAACTTAGGAGCGTTATATTGTGTATGGTGCACACGGTTGCAAAAACAACGTCATTTTGACGTTCAACTTAAAAAAAATAAAAGAAACTCAGAATTGCATAACTACACATCCATAACTTCATAATTATACATCCAGAATTGCATAACTACACATCCATAACTTCATAACTAAAAATCCATAATTGCATAACTACGCATCCATAACTTCATAACTATACATTCAGAATTGCATAACTATACATCCATAACTTCATAACTATAAATCCAGAATTGCATAATTACACATCCATAACTTCATAACTATAAATCCAGAATTGCATAACTACACATCTATAACTTCAATACTATACATTCAGAATCGCATGCATAACAACACATCCATAACTTCATAACTATACATTCAGAATTGCATACATAATTACACATCCATAACTTCATAACTATTGAACTTTACTCAAAAGTACAATTAGGCCCTTAAACTTTATAAAAAAAAAAAAGTGCAATCAAACACTTGAATTTGTCATTTTGGTGCGTCTAAACCCAGTAGCTGGTTATTCACAGTGAATAACCGGTCATTTAAGATTCCAGTGACATTTCGGCGAATAAAAATTCCGACGACCATAAAAATAAAACAAATTTTAAAAAATTTTAAAAAACAGGTGGCCATCTCAACTAGAGAAGACAACCGACTGGTCATCTTATCAGGTCGTCTTCTCAATTGGAGAAGACGAGTTCGGTCGTCTTCTCTAGTAAAAAGGTCACCGGAAATTGCATTTTTTTAACGATGGTGAACAGTGGTTAGCGGCGGTCAACGTCCATAATTTTATCGGTAATATGGTGGTTATCAATAAATTAGACTTATTTGACTCATTTTGACAAATTTGAGTGTTTTTTTTTTTTTTTGGAAGATACAAGTCTCAGTATTTAACTACACCTTTTTAAAGTTCAAGAGTCTAATTACACTTTTGAGTAAAGTTCAAGGGCAAATTATACTGTGAACCACGGTCCACAATGTATTGTTGTCCAGGCATCAAAATGGTGTCTTTTCTTTTAATGAAAAGAAACGGCACTTGTTCCGCGCCGTCCGCAAAAAGTAACTTTGATTGTATTACATATTCAGTTTCATTTTGTATACATTGCAGTTTCATTTCAATACAACTACAGTTTCATTCGATATTATACGCTCAAATATGTGAAACTGCTATTCAGTTTTATTTTATATACACTATAGTTTCATTACAATACAACTACATTATCATTTCGATATAACTACACTTTCATTGCACAATATGCACTCAAATATGTGAAATGTTATTCAGTTTCATTTTATATATACACTACAATTTCATTTCAAAACAACTACAGTATCATTTTGATATAACTACAGTTTCGCTGGGCAATATACACTCAAATATGTGAAATTGTCATTCAGTTTTATTTTGTATACACTGCAGTTTCATTTCAACACAACTACAATTTCATTTTAATTCAATTGCAGTTTTATTCGATAATATAAGTATAATACGTGATGCAGTGTCAGTTTAGATACACTGTAGTTTCATTTGATAATAAACAGACCAAAAATATACTCTTCGTTAAGCTGTAACGGCTGCCGTTTCTTTACTCAATTAAAGAAACGACGCCTTTTATGGACCCCGTCCACAATATAATTGCTGAAGTTCAAGAGTCCCCTTTTCCCTTTTATTTATTTTTTTTTTTTTAAAAAAAGAGCTAGTCCCTTTTATTTATTTAAAGTGCCCAAAAGTCCAAAACGCAAATAACCGAAAAATATAAGAGCAGTAGTTCCTTCTGGAAGTAGTGCAGAAAGAAGGAAAAACCAAAAACCCTTTACCTCTCATACTTGAATCAGATCAAGAAAACGCCATGGATGAGCTAACCTCTGCCCTCAATGCCCACATGGACCAAATGGCGGATCTCGTTGAGAAAATGTCTGCCGAGCTTCGCTCCGGACTCAAACCCGCCTACGACAATTTCATCGGCTTTTTCCACGCCATTGACTGGACGGTATTGCTACTTCAACTTGTATTTTTTTTAATTCCATTTTCTTAACCAAAATGCAGTTGTATTCTGATGTATTTGCGCAGGCATCTGATCTTTAGTTTGAATACTTAACTGCTAGCACTTCTCCATTCGAACTCTGTCACATTTTAGCTATTATGTTAATTCTTGTTGCTAGGAGACCTATTTAGAAGTTTCAGTTTGGGTAATATAAATAATTAGTCTTAATCTAACATTTGAGATCAGTTTACTCCAATTTTCATATTCCCCTTAAAGATCATGTGGTCAAGTGTGACAATTGCTCTTATAAACAACCTCTGTTTGTCCTTTTCAGAATTTCTTGTTTGCTGGTTTGTATCCTATTTGGAGGAAAAAGTTGAAGTGGATCTTTGTTCTGTAACTAACTAGTAGTAGTAGATAGACTTGGAGTTGTTTTACAAAGTTGAGAAATGCTAGAAGTTCCTGACATTAAAGAAGAGCCAATGTTATTTTATCTGATTTGTGGGTGATTTATTTTTTCCTTTGAATTGCATTTTGATTTTTGTATGACCTGAAAGATTTATGTTACAAACCTGCACTAGCATTTCTTGTCCTAGAGCTGTTCTTTTAATTATCTTATTTTTGTTTGTGTTTAAAATTTTTGACATGTTAAGAAGTTAACTTTGCATCTTTCACCTTTTCTCTCTCTCTTTCTCTCTTTCTTATCCTTATGATTTTTTTTTTACACTTTCATGCACAGGAACCTTGGTTGGTAGGGTTAATTTCCTTCCATGTTGTATTGCTGCTACTAGCAGTCTTCTTGAGAAAGAACATCAATTCTCAGATGTTCTTATTCCTTCTTGCATGTAAGTTGGCTCTCTTTTAAAGAATTTCACCTTCAATTCCTAAAATTTTAGTTTGAAGTTACAAATTTGAATTTTTATATGATTAGGCTTTATGGTGCCAAATTGCCCATGGTTAATGTTTCTTATAGACGGATACCTGAGATTTTTGGCCCCTTAACACTTAGTAAATTCTTTTTAAACTGCATTTGATTTAAAATAGAAATGGTTCGATTGGTAAAACATTCAGGGTAACTGAATTGTATCAAGTAACAAGGAGGAAATGTTCTGTACATGATATCATTCTGAAGGGCAAGAGCAGCCATATGGGGAAGGGATATTATCATGTACTTAATGTCCTTTTACCAGTTTTACTAGCATTGAATGGTAGGTAATATGCAGCATCAGTTCTTCTGCATGCTTAGATAGTTTATAGTTATAGTGCAATTTATATTGGTTTCAATTGTAGAGCCAGTATTCTTTTTTGGATTGAGAGTGCTCAGTGAGAGCAACGTTAGAGAGTAAATTTCACAAGCCAGTAAGAGACTTAAGGACAAATTTATACCTCGTTTGCCCAAAATGATCCGAGAACACAATTTTATTGAATTTGTCTATAGGGCTTTAAACTTGTAATAATTGTATGTTATGTGCTGTATTGTTCAATTATTTACTTAGTTTTAGTTGAATGGTATTACTCTCCATGCCTAGTTGGTGCAGCCTTATCTCTACAAAATTGAAACTTTTTTCTTGATTTAGCTACAATTTTGAATTAAGTGGTTGGATTTGAATAAGTAGTTGATTGGAGTTATTTGTGTGTGTGTGTGTGTGTGTGTGTTTTTTTTTTTTTTTTTTTTCGAGTTGCAGTAGCCTTTATCTCTGTGTGGAAAAAGAATTAGAAGTACATGACAAATAAACTAGTCCTAATCCAAAATCAAATCATCATATTGTTAATGGTAAAATGTGCATACCTAGGTATTGAAGGTACTTGTCTTTTTATTATCTGTATCTCCTAAGAGCATCATTATCAGTTGGGAAGAATGTGGGGAGAATGCAAGAGTGATTAGGAAAGAGAATGTGGGAGGGGGCAGGAAAAAAAAAAACCAAAACCAAAAAAAAAAAAGTATGTCACGGCGCGCCTGACGCGCACAGCTTGTGGTCCCTTCTTTTTTCTTTTTTCCCATTCTTCCCACCCCTTGCAGGCCAATTCTTCCCTTCATTCTTTCTTCCCCACACTAATTATTAACCCCACCCAAGAGAAAGCATCTTACATTATCCCCCAATTCTCCCCTTATTGTGGATGCTCTAAGGTGTTGGTCCAAGAACTTCATTTACTTGTATATATAATTATATATAGTGTTATGCATCACTTCCTCTGCACATTTTTTTTTCCTGGAAAATCACTAAAACAGGGATGTTATGCAGTAGGAGGAGTTTACTTTGCAGAGAATCTTAACAAAATATTGGCTGCCAATTGGAAAAGCTTTGCACGGCAGAATTATTTTGACGCACATGGCCTCTTTCTTTCAGTGCTCTGGTCTGGACCTCTTTTGGTCATTTCAATCATAATCTTGGTAACTATTATCTGTCACTGCATTCTCTCTTGACCGATCGTTCGTTCGTTCTTCTGCTTTATTCTTCATCTCATTCCGTCATACCCATTAATCTGTGTCTTCTCTTCGCAGGTGAATACGCTATTTTCCATGTGCTACTTGATCGTTAGGTGGAAAAAGGCCGAGCTTAGACACCGTGCAAGACTAGCTCGTAACAAGGAGGACTGAGACAACTCATTTGATATTGTATTTTATGATAGTTCACTCATCTTTTCCATATTGTAATTGCCTTTTTGGTTATAACTATCAGCATATTCTTCAAAGACATGGAAAAATGAAAAGAATTGTATTGAGTAGCTTAGTGTATACTTTTACGGTATGCTGATAGCTTCAATTGTGAGGGAAAAAGATATGTTTGGTCAACCAGAGAGCTTTTTGCTAAAGTTGTCATCTGCTTGTAGTCTGATTTTGATTCAATAGATGAACTATTAGACAAGGGGTAATATAGTTGCAGCATTAATTTTTTTTTTTTTTCTTTTAAAAGTACTCAAATTCACAATTGTATTCCAACGACGAAATAATTATGTTACATTAATGTGACGTTTGGTTTGGTTCGGGAAATATACTGAGAATGAGATGTCATTCTGTAGAATAAGCCTATTTGGTACAATATGGCAAATTATGGTCCACACAGTGTTATGTGGATCATAACAAAAAGTACATTTTTAATATACTAAATGTACATTTTCATGTACTGAATGTACATTATACAAAATAATATACTTTTAGTACTCAAATAATGTACATTCTCTGAATACAATATACATTTTTAATGTATTAAATGTACATTATTTTTGTACTGTATGTACGTTATTTTATTATATATAAAACATGGTTCACACAACTTGTATGGACCATGGTCCACACAATAATAATTGGTTGAATTTTTAACACAAGAAATAGAATTTCACCCTATTCCCTTCGAATACAGATTACAGATTGGCATAACAAAAGCTCCAGAAACTCCTGAGGTCAAAGAACTATAACATTATGAACAAGAGTGAGTTCAATTTGGCACTTTTGCCATATCAAAACTTGTAATTACCTGGAAAAAAATCATACTTAAATGCATAGATATAGCATACCTAATCACTTTGGGTAATCTCAAAGTACAGCAGCATTAAAGAAAAGTAGAATTGAAGCAAGGGTAGTTTGGGGTCAAGAAAAAAAAGATCACTAAAATCCAGATACATGAACTGATGAACCTAGGATCCAGTCTTCTACATAGATCACAAATGTTAAGATAATCAAACTACAACCAACCTAAGATCAGTAAAGTGAGTGCATATAATACACATCGCCCCAACCCTACTTTCAACTCCAAGCCTTGAACCAACATTACTGAGTCGAGTTTCTTCCTAGGAGGATAAAGCCACAGTCAACATTACTGGTTTGTTAGGTTTTACCTGGTAATAGAAACAAATAGCGAGTCAATAGAATGTCAAAAAATCGTAGTGAGTCAACCAGAATTCATTATCACTTACCTCTTGTAAAGAGCAATGATGTCATCAGAAAACCTTGATGTTTCCAGAAATTCATCACCACATTGTTTCGGATCCATCTTCTCCATTTCATAATCCTCAAGACCAAAATATTGATTCCACTCGAACCACATCTTTGATATAGATTCCTTTCTGAAACAGGTTGTATGGTCTTCCTCTTCTGGTGTACTAGACGCCACCAATCTGTAGGTGTATACTTTCTTCTCCTGACCAGGCCGGAATGCACGTCCTATTGCTTGGCGAGTTACCGAAGGGTTCAAGTGTACATCCAATATGATAATACGGGATGCCCCCACAAGTGATATTCCCTCACCACAGGCTTTGATGGAACCGAAGAAAACACGTGCATCTGCTGATGTGTTGAACCGCTCCATTGAAGCTTCCCTCACTTCATTATCCGAATCTCCGGTAATCATGAAAATTTCCTTTCCAATACAATAACCCTTAAACTTTATGGTCAATCTCTCCAGGAACTTCAAAGGCAATAGGTACTGACTAAATACAAGGAGTTTTTCCTTGTGTGATTCGCACAATGCCAGAAGATTTAGAAAGAACTTAGCTTTCACTCCCTCTCGTACCTCCAAATTATCTATAATCATATCAATTTTTTCTTCATCAATCCTTTCTTTAACGGAGTGTTTTGAGAGACTCTTCAACTGGGGGTGCACATATAATGCACTTCCTTCAGCACTTATTTTGAATTTTCTTCGCAGGTTCTTTAACCCAGCAACTTCAACTTTCTGTTTCGGATGAAGCTTTAGGATGACTGTGAAATCCACGAGTCCTGGAAGTTCTTCCAGAAAGTCTCCCTTGTAATAGTGAAGAACTTTCCTTGTCATCTCCCTCAGATCTTGTATAACTGTAGCCTTCCTTGTTACATTCTCATCTTTCAGGAGTGTGTGCTCCACTAACTCGAAGAATTCATTATCTGAACCTTTCTTTATTAGGTTCCTTTTGCTTGAAATTGCTGCTCTGCTCAATATCCGTCTCTTGATTGCTTTAGAATCTTCCAACTTCAGAAACTTTGGACGAACAAGGTTCAAAATATTAAACACCTCTTTAACATGATTTTGGTAAAGAGTGCCAGACAGCACAACCTTACGAGGTGTCTGCACCTTTTCCAATGAAGTCAAAACATCAGTATCCTGGTTCCTTGGGGTATGACCCTCATCCAAAATGAGAATTGATGGAACCGTCAACAAAATCTCCTGGCAAGCAACAGCAGCTCTACTTGCTTCATTGTCACACACTATTACTGAGAACTGTTTGTAGCCTAGAAACAGAATACTCCTTTCCCCAGCCCATTGCTTTAGAACTTCAAATTGTTGGGCTCGATTATCTGCTTTTACAGAGTAAAAATCATAAAGAGGAATATCTTCCACTTGCCACCTAAGAAATTCTTTCTTCCATGTGGCCAGGATTCCTCTTGGTAGCACAACCAAAGGCCTAGCAAATGGATACTTAGCCATGAAACTTTGAAGGAAGCTTATGATCATAAAGGTCTTCCCTGATCCAGGAGCATGGGCCATTATACAACCCCCTGGGTTATCCGTCACCAAGTTGTTTAGCAAAAAATTGAATCCCTCAACTTGGTGGGGTTTCATCTGCTTTTTGTGCCTTGGATGAGCAGAAATTTCAGCTATTTCAAATTCATGCGACGATTTGTTGGGCTCAAACGAAGTTTCACTTGGCCCTGAATCCTTGGTTGTTCGACCTTCGTATCGATATGTTCTTGCATTCTTTGCACTCTAAATGAAGACAAAAAGCACTTCAATTAAAGAAATCTAAGTTCTAAAAGGGAAACAAATCTATAAAATTTAATCCTCCATTACTTACACCAAATGATTAAATTGAGTAAATTTTACATAGTCGTTGGACCATTTTGGGTGAATTGATAGTCGAGTGCCAATTTGAGAATTATGGCATATCGATGAAACATTTTGGGTATTATCGCAGCAAAATATATGGAAAAAGGCCCAAAATGAAAGGATAGATGGATTAGATAAGACCACACCTTTGAATACTGGTAGTCGATGATGTTTTCAATGCTTTTGTTTATAACTCCACAAATGCGACATACAGAGCCAATATCTTCTTTCAAGATGAAAGAATGCTCACACTCTTCATCTTCATCTTCAGCTTTGTCCTTGTTAGAAGAAGCATCCGCAGTAACATCCTATTTGACATTAGGAAACTTCAATCTAACAGCACAGGAATAAACCAGTGTATAAGTTTATTCTAGCATGCAACACAAACACACAAAAGGGAATGTAAAGTAAGACACAAAAATACAAGATAGAGAAATGAAAAGGTCATCATGAGAAATGCATGTGATATACAATTATATTGAAGTACTGTGCCTAAAAATCTCAAATCAAGAACTACTCAAAAGATAATAAATGCAGATTATAGGGGAAAAAGAAAAAAAAAAAAAAAAGAAGACTTTCAGGTGTAGTTGAGTAAAGAATCAAACAAATGTACCTTCGAGCATTCTATAGCAAATGACATCTCATTCCATATATCATCCAAGCCATCAAAATTAGCATCATTTCCATCTTCTGTTTCTGAATCATCCTCCACACCAACATACACACCTTTGTCTTTAATTTTTTCAGTTTCCAAAGCAAGATTTGCACTTCCTCTAGGTGATTTGGTTCCAGGTGAATCCTGCACCTACATCAGGTAATTATAGCAAACACATAAGAAGAGAACATACACATGTATTCACATCATACGGAAAAATCCATTATATTGGATAATCCAAAATAAATAAAATTGATGCAAGAGCCTTTGCACTCTAAATCTGAACTTTTGACTTGTCTTTAAGAATGAATGGCAGAAATATTTTTGCATTACAGTATATCCCATGGAAAAGAAAATATCTCAACACAACAATGTTAAGTCAAAGATGGAGCATGTATACCGTAAACGTGAAGTGGAAATACATGCATGATGCATCAATTAGAGCTTCCATGTAAATAAGTAAATTACATAATGCAAGTTAACTATAAAAAGTAGCTTGATTTCCTCCTTAAGAATGGAACCAAATATCATGTCAAGTTAGAGGTTACTTGTATTTTGAGAAGCATTACTGATTAAGCTTTAGATCCACACTCCACATTGGTAGCTGCTACTTTTAAAAGTGAAAGTTTAGTTTGGGGAATGCAATCACATATCTTAATGAGCCACTATTCTCATATGCTTATATTCTTGCCAAAAATAAAATACAAACGATTAAAAGGGGTTACAGCTTTGTTCTGTTATCCGCTACAAGAAGTCTTGCATAGATTAACATATATTGAATATACTTACCAAATGCTCTTTCATATAGGAGCCTCCGACAGTATTAATGGTGGGGATTCCCTGGAATGTACAATTGGGCTTTTTGTTGTCTTCATCATCTGAATCAAGGATAACAAGAGGGCCGGCTGAAGGGACAAGCTGTGCAGGAGGAACAAAGCGAGCAACTGGAACACTTCTCACAACACGCTCATCCTCCAAATCAATTACACTAGTAGCAATTTGGTCTCCCTTATTCTCTGCGGTGTGATTATTTTCCAACTCTAAAAATTTATAGGGAAGTGTAGGATCCCTAGCATAGCATGAATGTATGTAACGCCTGCTTTGAGCCATAAGCTCCTCAATTTCTTTTGTCGCACTCCCATACTTTCCACATTCCAAACTTTCCCATAAATTGGACATAGAATAGGGATCAGAATAGTCCAAAATTCCTGAAGAGCGTTTTAGGAGTCTCTCTTCAAATTCCTCGCGCCAGCATAAAGAAGATATTTTGTTAACCGGAACTTCACTGGTTCTCATCCTTTTCCTTCCCTTGGGAAAAGAATCTGTTTCAAAAATGAAATAATAAATGTCTAATGAGATTTGGGAGTAAAATAAAAATTTACACTCTATTTGAGAAAGCATTCACTCTTCAACTGTATTGCACTATCCAAGTTTTTACCAAACAAATGTAGCAGACTAAAGCAACCACTATCAGATTCAATGTGAAACCATCATTCATCCCCCATGTGTTAATACATAGTGATTAGTAGCAAAATCAGAAAAAGAAACGACATCTAATTAAGTAGAAGACAGAGAGGATCACACTAAAAAACATACAATCATTGACTCAACTGTTTCAGAAAGTTTAAAGAACTGCAGATACACAAATACCAGAAGAGGCAAGTTTTTTTCTTTTTTTTCTTTTTTTTCTTTTTAATAATAACAATAATAAGCAATCGCCATTAACATTTGAACAAAGATTACTTCCTAATGATTTTCATTTGTTTTACGGATTCAAAAGTTCTGCCCCAAACAAACAGAATTAATGAACTCAAAAAAAAAAAAAAAAAAAAAAAATCCCAATTAACATTGCAGTGAAATTTCTTCAAAACATAAACAAATACCTAAATAAAAAATTCGAGAATGAGGGCTAGTATTTAAAATAACAAAACGAAGACATACCCACTGCCGGAAACATTGTTGCAATCGGGGTAGGATAAATGCTCCCGAAGCCTTCCGAACCTGAAGCTCCCATGATCACTAAAATTTCACCGGAAAGTTAATGCGATTAATGAAATTGGGGTTAAGAACATCTACACACTTCTTTCGGCAATATCATAACTTTGAAACAACAATTAAGATCACGAAAGGTATTTACACAATTGTTACGGAGTAATAAAAACCCTAAGTTCCAGAAATGAAATTAGGAAATAGTTTCTGAAGTGGAGTAAGAGACTGAGAAAAGAGGAAAATAAACAATTTGACTGGACAATTACCTGTATGGCAACTTGGCAACGTGCACTCATCCACATCTTTTACGCCAAAAACTCGTGTTAGGCAAGTTGGATTTAGATAAAAATTTAATAATAATTAAGAATTTATATATATATATTTTGTTACTAAGGAAAAGGAATACCTAAATATACAAACTACTACGTTTCTACCGTGACTTTGGCTCTGTTTGGTAAAATAGCTGATAGTTGATAGCTGTTTGCTGTTAGCTGATTGTGTTAATTAAATGGTATAAATAGTTGATAACATTAGATGATTGTAGAAAAGTGTTTGGTAAATTAGTTGTTAGCTGATAGCTGTTTGGTATAATTTCTTTTCTCAAAAAGCTAATTGAAAAAGTTGCTTGGAGTAACTTTTTGAATTTTAGCCTTTTGGAGTTGCAAAAAGTTAATTAACCAAATATTTCTATTGATATTTTAACTAAATCAAATAATTAATAGTGGTCAAATAAGCCAAAATTGGCCTATAGGCCAACTTTTTACCAAACAGGGCCTTAGTCTTCGCACCTAGTATTATTGGGCCACAAGATCCTTATATGAGAAAGTATAATGCTTTCCAAAGAAAAAATGTAATATTTCTATATTTTAATATAAAAATATTATATTTTTCCTTATACGTATTATATTTTTTAAGTAATAAATATGTGTCAAAATTACTTATACGAGAAAGTGTAATACTTTTTTTATTAAAAAATGTAATTCTTTTACATTCTCTTTAACCGGACGTTTGGTTGGAAGTGGGGAATTATGTGGGAAAGAAATTGTAATTCTATGGGAGTTGAATTACTGAGAATAAAGTGGGAATTTAAATTCCAGTGTTTGGTTGACAGGAATAGAATTACTGGGAATTTCAATTCCAATGTTTGGTATACATGGGAATTGAAAGGGAATAAGTAGTACAAAGTCAAAAATGTCTATTATTGTTGTTAAACATTAATTTTAGGTTAAAAAAGGAAGGGGTAATTTTGACTCATCACTATCTTTTTTTCTCAGGAACTAAAATCCCGGGGTGTGGGGGGGGGGGGGGGGGGTGCATGGGATGTTAATTCCATGAAAATGGGGGAATTGCAATTCCCTCCAACCAAACTACGGAATTTAATGGCCTTTGGAATTAGGTGGGAATTAAGTGGAAGGGAATTTAAAATCCCTCCAACCAAACGCCCTGTAAAAGTATTATATTTTCTCTTATGAGTAACAAACATTTTATTCTTAGTTAGTATTATATTTGTTCATATAATTATTGCATGTCCATATTGATCCGACCCGATTCGACTCGTTTCGTAGATAATGATCTGGGAGACTATCTCACACCAATCGTTATACCCTGCACCACGGCGCACGTAGCATTGTGCGCCCCGCGCCTCCCAAAACGACGTCGTTTTGGTAAGTTATGTAGGGAGTTGACGCGATTATGTGTATTTGCTTATATATTATGTGTATTTGTTTATATAATTATGTGTATTTGTTTATACAATTATGTATATTTTTTATACAATCATGTACATCTTTTTTATACAATTATGTACATCCGAAACAAGAAATTTATGTGTATTATGTTAAGAGTAGGTGTTTATTATGTTAAAAGTTTATGTATATTATGTATTATGGTAGATTATATGTATTATCTTTAAAAAAAATATGTGTATTTTGTTATACAATTATGTACATTCATTTATACAATTATGTGTATTCTAGTATAAAATTATGTACATTTTTAAACTTGAGATTTTTTTTTAAAGAAAATTAATTGCCAACACAGGGTAGCGAAATTAAAAAAAAAAAAAATCTGAAACAACGTCGTTTTGCATCATGGCGCACAATGCAATGCGCACCCTGGTGCAGGATATAAATTGCCATCTCACACAAGTGTAACCTTTTTTCTATATACTAGTATTTTTTTTATGCGCGATGCGCAAAAAATAGGTACCCAATATTAATACATTATATTAAAATTTTAAATTTATTTAAATTTTAGATATTTAAATTATTCTAAATAATAATAATAATAATAATAATAATAATAATAATAATAATGTAAATCATTTTTATAAATTTGATATTTATATTTTATGTAATAATTAACATATAACTCAAATATATAATGTTTATATATTATTATGGAATAAGGGTCAAATAGGCCATTAAACTGCACACAATAATGCAATTAGGTCACTGGACTTAAAAAATAACAATTAGGCCACTAAACTAACCAATTTTATTCAATTAGTCTAATTTATAGGTTTTATAGGTTAGTAACAGGTCACCCCAAAAATTTAAAATATTTTTTTAAAAATTATTATTTAAAAATAATAAATTAAAAAAAAATAACGTTTCTTCGCTAGACAAAGAAATTTCTTCGTTTCCATGGCCGAAGACGTCTTCGTCTCCATGGCCGGAGACGAAGAAACTCGTCTCCGACGGAGGCGGTTAAACTTTTTTTTTTTTTTTTTTTTTTAAATTTTAAATTTTAAATTATTATTTTGAAATAATAATTAAAAAAAATATTTTAAAATTTGGGTGACCTGTTACCAACTTGTAAAACCTGTAAATTGACTTAATTGCATGAAATCGGTTAGTGTAGGGATCCAATTGTTGTTTTTTTAGGTTCAGTGGCATAATTACATTATTGTGTGCAGTTCGATGGTTTATTTGACCCTTATTCCTATTATTATTATTATTATTATTATTATTATTATTATTATTATTATTATTATTATTATTATTATTATTATTATTATTATTAATGAAGAAGATAAGAAAATATATGGTGAATGCATGTGCATAGTAATAATAGTGGAAAAGATAACGGAAGTTATAACGGTAGGAGTATGTTTGCCTAAAATATTTTAATGTACAACCTTTATAGCATAATGTACAAAAAAATTTAACGAAAAAATAGACATAAATAGGAGTATAACTTTCATTCACACTTAGTATGTTTTTAGATTAGATACTTTTTCCAACTTAAAATTTTTTTTTTTTCTGTATGTACAAATAAAATAAGATTTTTCTATATATACTTTTTCCAACTTAATTTTTTTTTTCTATATGTAAAAATAAAATAAGAATATATCATTAAAAAGTTTTAATTGAGAATTTTTTTGGATGTTACTAACTCTGTTACAATGCCCCCGCACTGGGATTCAAACCTGAAACCTCTCAGGTGAAATGCCATAACTATACCGCTCGACTACAAGGTCCACAAGACCTTTAAAAATAAAGAAATCTATAGATATATAAAGTCATAAAATTTTAGTGAAATACTTGTGTACATTAAGTTTGTTTTTATGAGCATATAAAAAGAATATTATGAAGTTATTATAAAATGAATGAAAATGCATATGATATACAATTAATTTTTGAATGCTACTGACTCTATTAGATTGTAGTTTATGTTCAAACATACTTTCTCAACCTAATGAAGCACACAGAGTCAACAACGCCTCCACTGAGGCTCGATCTCATGATCTCCTAATATACAATTAATTTAGTGTTTATAGATATTAAGATTTAGGTTTACGAATGTATATATAGAACAAATATTATGAACATATCACATGATGAATGTAATTAAACATCTGAGATAGGTTACAGAACATTGATTAATCCTTTTTGTTTGCCTATCAGTTTGCGGATGGTATCTTATACATAGGCTAAGCTTTACTTTTAAATATCTGAAAGTGTACGTCTTGCCAGAATGGCAAATTATACCATGGACCAGAGTTTATCATGCATTGTGGACTATGGTCTAAAAATAACTTTCAAATTTTAATTTGTACTTATAGTTGATACATTGAGCGTGTTTGGCAAATAGCTGATAGTTATTAGCGGTGTGAGTTAGTTAGTTTGATCAAATGATAGCATTAGCTGGTTGTAGAAATGTGTTTGGTAAATTATCTGTTAGCTGATAGTTGATTACATGTAAAATAACATAATGTAAAATAACCTTTAAGGGTATGAATGCATTATGTTATTTTAACCTTATAATAACTAATAAATTACCCGTGCGAATGTGCGATGCACGAATAAAATATTTTTATTATATATTTAGATAATAAAATTAAATATTAAATTATAAACAATTCTAATATATTTTTTTGAAGTAAAAAGCGACATATATTAACCAAGCAAAGTAGAAATAAAGTCAGGAGGCATAGACTCCCAGTACAAAGAACTAGCTTGTGAAAAAACTGGTGAAGCTAAAGTATGAGCTAGGACATTAGAAGTACGCCTAACAAACGAAATAGAACAAGAATCAAAAGAAACTATCAACTCCCTACATGCTGAAAAAGCTATTCCATCATACGAACGAAACTCCGTAGTTGATGAAGAGAGAACCTGGCAAAGCTGTTGACAATTCGATCGAAGTCTAACAACCGTAACCCACCGCTCATGCAGCCAAGATAGAGCCTCATTACATGCCAAAGACTCCGCCATAAAAGGCCCCGTACAATCCAACAATCCTCCATTTGTTGCCGCAATAAAGCTCCCAGTATCATCCATCAATAACTTCATACGTGGCTTTACCGGTGCTAGCCTCAAACCCCACATCAAACGCACAAACCGACTCCACGGATTGTTGCTCATGATGAACCTGCGCATAAGCTAAGTTTGTAGTTGACGGATTAGCCATACGCCAGGCCTCCAGAGACGCAGAAGCCGCGAAGGCCACACGCTGAGGAAGCGCCAGCTTGCCCTCCCAAACTGCCAAATTGCGTTGTGCCCAAATTGCATGCATGACAGCCACCATTCGCATGAACAAACCCTCATCCACTTCTTGCAATATTTTTTCGAGCCATCCACCAAACTCATCTCCCACCACGGTTACATCACCAAAATAATTCTTCATGTTCGTTTGCACCCTCGGATTATCATAATCCAATAACCACGGGTCGCCCCACACAAATGTAGTTGCACCATTCCCTATTTTGCGTCTGATTTTACCACAAAT